TATATATATATATATATATATATATATATATATATATATACAGTATATATAGTAAAATATAAATACATAAATATTTAAATAATTATGCTAACATACTGTATATATGAAATTACACAATAAAATATATTATATTATATAAAGCAATATTGCACTTATGCTTGTGTGATATTACTCATGCATTTTATATATATAAAATATACATTTATTATTTAAAAAAAATATTTTATTAATGATTAGTTGCAATAAATTTGAGTGATATATATATATATATATACTTTATATAAGTGTGTGTTTATTATATTAATTATTCTTTAAAAAATTACTAAAAATTAGTTGCAATACATTTACACAAACCTGTATGAATTACTTTCTTCTGTGGAACACAAATGAAGATATTTTGAACTGTTTTTGTCCACACAATGAAAGTCAGTGGGGTCTAAAACAACAGACTGAAAAAAAAAACACTTTCCACAGAAGAAAGTTATAGAGGTTTGGAATGACATGACCGTAAATGATGTAAATGATGAGTGAATTGTCATTTTTGGGTAGACCATTGCATTACATTGACAGGCCTAATTGTTACACTTTAATTTGCAGATTTGACCTCTCTGAGAAACCTGTGTACATACACAGTCAAACACACACACACACACACACACACTAGCAATAGATGGTGTTCTAGCTGGAATCAGAAAAATTTTCAGCCCATCACAGAGACTTTCACAGTGTTGGTGTTAGCAGGGTACACAAAGCAAGCCAGTATGTACACGGTCACTAAAGCCCAGACTTTGGGGAAGGCTGTGGGAGAGAGCGGCTCCCTCTGTAGCCCATCGCTCTGGGTGTTGGGCTGGGAACCTACCTCCAGTGTACTGCTTCCAGTTGTAGTACTTCCCACGGAAAGGCATGTTGTCAAAATCGGCACACTGCTTCTCCCTAAAGTCACGTGATCCTGCTGGACAAGCCTGCGATCAAACAATCAAATAATTGGTGGCGAATGAACCATTGAAAAAGCATTCAGATGGTGCTCTCATTTTTACCAAATTATCTTATAGAGTATTTATAAGACTTTTATTTTATCCTACACTGAACAATATTAAATAGTGTCACACATTCCCTGCTGTCACTTTTTAATGAAAAGTCCCACAGCATGATGCTGCTACCAGTACCTCACCATACACTCTTAAAAATAAAGTTTCCAAAAGGGGGGTTTCACAGCGATGCCATAGAAGAAACATTTTGGGTTCCCAGAAGAACATGTGAGTGAACAGTTCTTAAAAAAATAACAATTTTTTAATACTCTAAGTGTAAATGTATAGATTTTTTTGGGGGGGAGGTGGCCAGTGTTATTTGGGCACTAGAGCCAGACATATTACATTTAATTTTGGCTAAAAAGTTCTGCTGGTCTCATTTCACCACATGATCTTTTTCTCCATTGGTTGATATAATACTCTCTGGCAAACTCCAGACATGGTTGCACAAGGTTCATTTTAAGTAATGGCTATTTTTGTACCACAATTGCACACAGGACGATGTTATGCAGAGCTCTTGTTATGGTTGACCTTTACTCCATTCTCAACTACTCAACTCCTTCGAATTTCTTCTCATCTTCTGTGTGACATCTCTTACACGTCTCGGTCTTCTCAGTTTTAATGGACAATATTTTCTTGCCAGTTTCAGAGTAGTTTGTGCTTTGTGATAACAGAAACCAACTGAATAAAAATGAAATAAAATTTAAATGATAAAAATGACAAATATTTATTTTATTAAATAAAATATGTAATAAAAATATACATTTATTAATTTTTTTTCAGGTTAAATCTGTAAAAACTTGTAAAAATATATATAAATATATATTTAGATTTTATTAAAGAAGTTAAAAAACCTTACTAGGGAATGGGTAATAAAAGAAAAAAAAAATGTAAACATATTTCTGACTGAATTGACTCATTTGTGTATACAAACGATCACTTTTCATGGTCTTTTTGCCTCTTGTAATTAAAAGAAAAATCCCTTCTCTGAAAAATTTATGTTAAAAATGAAGTGCATTGTGTAATGACCTCTCAATGTTATTTAAACATTATTGCCCTAAATCTAAATTAAACTTTAATATGCGACTCGACTTGGCCTCTTTCCATGTCAGCATTGTTATTAACCCAAGTTACCATGCAAACGGGCGGATCACGGAGTCAGCAGTGAGCGAAGGGGTGCAGATTAGCTCATTGTTTTGAGAAGTAGAACAAATGATAGCAGACCTTTGCTTGGTACTGAACAATGGCCACGGCTGGAACCAGAGCCACAGGGGGGCCGTATACTCAATGACTTAATAATTTCAAAGCCACAGCCATAATAAATCCAGACGTTGGAATGCCCCACATAAACACGCCAGAGAGTGGTCTTCAACCCTTGGTTGTTCACTTCAAAAGCCTCGTTTGGATTCCAGAAGGTCAAAGAACTAATTACATTATATTTGTGATGGGCTCGCTGATTTATAAGCACAGAACCAGCGCCGGGCTGCTGTCGAAAGCCCCCAGAATCTGTTCGGATGTCACCAATAGTCCATATCCACAACACATTTGTGTTGGACAACACACATTCATTTTCTGTGCATGGGGGTGCTGTTTGTTTTCCAGAGTTGTTATTTTTTAAGATTTGTGGTAGAAAGGCTGTCTAACAAGCTCAATTTTGACCTTAAAGACACCATAAAGTCCTGTGGTGATGTATTTCCTTTGAAACAGGAAGTCTGTGGGATTGATTAGAATATAGAAAGCTAACACACATAAGCACTAAAACAATAAAATAAAAACAAGAAGATAAAGGACACCTAGAAATAGATGGAGAGGGAAGATGTGATTTTTAAAATTTTTGCTCATCGTGATCCATTTTTTTAAAACAACAGTTTATGGGTTGTACAGCTAAGACTTTTACATTGTTACAAAATATTTCTATTTCAAATAAACTATGTTCTTTTGAAATTCCTATTCATCAAATAATTCTTAAAAAATGTATCATGGTTCCAAAAAAATATTAAGCAGGACAGCCGTTTTCAACATTGAGAATAATTAGGGCTGTCGATTTAACGTGATAATCTAATCAATTTGTTATGGAAAAAAACAATGCATTATCGATCAGTGTATGACATCAAAAAACCGCGAGGGCGATTCTAAAGCATGCAGAGTGTCTGCTCTCTATAGCTCTCACGATATTTTGATGTCATACAACAATCTGTCTGTGTAGCACTGATTCAACTCGAACACCTATCCACCTTTTTTTTCAATGCAGAAGTAAGCCGTTTTCTGTGAATGGGTGAGACTTCCGGTTCATTCGCTGCTGTAGGGAAATAACGAGAAGAATAACAACGTGCGGTAAACTGTAAAACTGTTTGTACTACAAACCTGTGTGTTCATAATTAAGATAATACATTAAAATAATATGGTAAGACACACCAGTCTGCAATATCAAGCAGCAAAACGAGCTGTATTGTACATCTAAAAAAACAGCTGGAAGATGATGAGACCGGATGCCAGACACATTCAATTTACAAATGTACTTATTTTTCCTCTTACAGGACAAACCCAGCTATTGGGTTGTTTTGACCAAGCGGTTGGGATGTTTTGAACCCAACCGCTGGGTCAGAACAACCCAATAACTGGGTTTGTCCCTTTTTAACCCAGCGCTGGGTTATATTTAACCCAGCATTTTTTAGAGTGTATGAGTTTTTGTCTCATATTTATATTATATGACAGAGTTAAGCAATATCACACGAGCACCGAGTGCAGCGTCACACGAGTAATGTTTGTGTCCCAAACAGCACGAGTGCAAATGTGATAATGATTTTATACAATAGTTCAATAAATCTGAACTTTATATTGTGTTTTATTTTAGGCACAATATTGTCTGTTTTTGCTCAGTTTTGCCAGCGCAAATATCTATTAAAGCCACAGCAGAACTGTTGTGCATCTCCAAGCAACACACAATTTCTGAATAAATCTGCATTTTGAATGAATTGTGTGAACCAATGATTCAATGGCGCATTCATAAAGAGAGCCATTTACTTAATTCCTGGCAGTTTGAACAAATCGAATGAATGAATGACTTACTCATTAAGACTTTTAATGCCATCTACTGGCAGTTTTAGAGTACCATTTCATAAAAAAAAATTATGTAATATATATTCATAAAAAAATCAGAAAATAAAAAATCCATATTAATAAATATTTAAATAACATTTTTATTGGAAAAAAAAGAAATTTCTAAAGCTACTTTTTGTGATTTCATGCTTTTCTCATGTAACCCAATAATGGCTGTAAATGATCGTTTGTTGGTAATTTCTCAGCCAAATTTGATGTGCGATTAATTAGATTGATTAGCCACCACATTGTGTAATTATTTAGATAAAAAATTTTAATCGACTGACAGCCCTAATATAATAAGAAATGTTTCTTAAGCACAAAATCAACATACTGTATTAGAAAGATTTCTGAAAGATCGTGTGACACTGAAGACTGGAGTAAATTACATTTTAAAAAGTGCTGTCAATCGATTAAAAATAACTAGTTAATCGCATATAGTTTTTTCTGAAATTAATCACGATTAATTGCACCATTAAAGTTTTAAAGTTGCAACATTAAAGTTTTTAAATGTACATTTATATTGCAATAATTTCACATTCAATATTCAAATTAATGTAGAAACAACATAAAGACAGTACATTTTTAATATTACATTTTTTCTTCTTCTAATATTTAACAATTGACTATAACCATTCAACATTATGGTATAATTGAGCTAGGAGTTGAGTAGTTGAGAATGGAGCTATCAATTTGAACATTTATTAGATTTTAACAAAAAACAACTTCTAATTTAAGTGAACTTAAAACAATCTTCACACAAACCCATTATAATAAATGTCATATTTAGCTACCTGTGCCCTTCAGCAAGTAGGAAATATACAGAAATTGAATAAAGTTATCAAACACTAAATTCTAAATTAAATACTAATGAATCCTTAAAGCTACAAAAGTTATTGATTTCCTCTCTTTTCTATTGTTCTTTGATTAACAGACATCACAGCAGTGTTTTTGCTCAGTTTTGCCAGCGCAAATATCTATTAAAGCCACAGCAGAACTGTTGTGCATCTCCAAGCAACACACAATTTCTGAATAAATCTGCATTTTGAATGAATTGTGTGAACCAATGATTCAATGGCGCATTCATAAAGAGAGCCATTTACTTAATTCCTGGCAGTTTGAACAAATCGAATGAATGAATGACTTACTCATTAAGACTTTTAATGCCATCTACTGGCAGTTTTAGAGTACCATTTCATAAAAAAAAATTATGTAATATATATTCATAAAAAAATCAGAAAATAAAAAATCCATATTAATAAATATTTAAATAACATTTTTATTGGAAAAAAAAGAAATTTCTAAAGCTACTTTTTGTGATTTCATGCTTTTCTCATGTAACCCAATAATGGCTGTAAATGATCGTTTGTTGGTAATTTCTCAGCCAAATTTGATGTGCGATTAATTAGATTGATTAGCCACCACATTGTGTAATTATTTAGATAAAAAATTTTAATCGACTGACAGCCCTAATATAATAAGAAATGTTTCTTAAGCACAAAATCAACATACTGTATTAGAAAGATTTCTGAAAGATCGTGTGACACTGAAGACTGGAGTAAATTACATTTTAAAAAGTGCTGTCAATCGATTAAAAATAACTAGTTAATCGCATATAGTTTTTTCTGAAATTAATCACGATTAATTGCACCATTAAAGTTTTAAAGTTGCAACATTAAAGTTTTTAAATGTACATTTATATTGCAATAATTTCACATTCAATATTCAAATTAATGTAGAAACAACATAAAGACAGTACATTTTTAATATTACATTTTTTCTTCTTCTAATATTTAACAATTGACTATAACCATTCAACATTATGGTATAATTGAGCTAGGAGTTGAGTAGTTGAGAATGGAGCTATCAATTTGAACATTTATTAGATTTTAACAAAAAACAACTTCTAATTTAAGTGAACTTAAAACAATCTTCACACAAACCCATTATAATAAATGTCATATTTAGCTACCTGTGCCCTTCAGCAAGTAGGAAATATACAGAAATTGAATAAAGTTATCAAACACTAAATTCTAAATTAAATACTAATGAATCCTTAAAGCTACAAAAGTTATTGATTTCCTCTCTTTTCTATTGTTCTTTGATTAACAGACATCACAGCAGCTGGTTATTAGGTTATTTTGGCTGCTTTAAGAGCTGCTGCTGCTGCACATGACACGGATCTGACACGCATCGTATTTTCTCACAACTCTTTACCTTTTCTGACCCTCTTCAGGTCTTAAAGTCTCCACTAATAAGCTGACGAGTTGAATCGGGTGTGTTAGATGAGGGAGACTTAGATGAGGGCTGCTCCAGACAAGGACAGTTTTGAAAACCACTGCATTTCAGAAACATATTCTTAAATCTGACTTGCAAATACATGCATGCCGTTTTATGGCAGTTTTAATCGCCTTTTTTGTAACTTCATGACTTACCTGACGACACAACTATAGCATTGCATGCTCGTAGTTTCTTTTGCATTTTAAAATGAAATGATATAGCCTACAGCATGCGCCGCCGCATATATATATATATATATATATATATATATATATATATATAGTATAAAAAAACAGATGTTTTAAATTGTAATAATAGAAACAATACTGGTTGTTTCTAATTGTCACAGAAGCTGTTAAAGTAAAAAACAAATCAAAATGATTCTGCTGACAGACAAAGAAAAACTGAGTTGTAACTCACGTCAGTGTTACACGATCTATAGCGTTTCCTCTCTCCGAGACAGTACTTCCCTCCGCCTGTCGGTCTAAAAGAGAAAGAATAAAAAAAGACTCATGAGGTATCATCATGAGAGACGGGGAATCTAAGTATAAAACGCATCCACACACCATTCCAGTCAACACCGGACAGCATCTGTGCTGCATTTGCTTTAGCAGAGGAGGGCAAATGGTCCAGTAACCTCAATCTCAACATGCCCATCACTCACACACAAACACATACTTCCAGGTCTTCTGCAGAAGTTTAGTGTCCAAAAAATCAGATCAGGTCATCGGATCACACAAACATAGCCATCTTTTTAGATCTGTGTTGACTTTGCTCTTCTGTGCTGATCTCAGATCAGTTTAAAGGTAATGTGTATAATTTTTTTCAACATTAAAATACTTCTTTATGTGACAGTTCTCACAATTCTGACATTTTACTCGCAGTTCTAAATTTATATCTCACAATTCAGTCTTTTTTTCTAGCAGTTCTGAGAAAAAAGTCGGAATGTGAGATATAAACTCAAAATTGCGATATATTAAGTCGCAATTGCAAATAATACAAAATTATCACTTTTCATGGTCTTTTTACCTCTTGTAATTACCAAAAAAAATCCCCTCTAAAAAAAATTATGTAAAAAATGATGTGCACTGTGTAATTAAACATTATTGCCCTAAAGCCAATTAAACTTTAATTTGCGACTCAACTTGGCCTCTTTCCATCGCAGCATTGTTATTAACCCAAGTTACCATATTAATATCTCTAAATTTATATCTCCCAATTCAGTCTTTTTTTCTAACAGTTCTGAGAAAAAAGTTGGAATGGCGAGATATAAAATCAAAATTGCAATATATTAACTCGCAATTGCAAATTTGACGTTTTCGGGAAACCTGTTTGTAAACAATCATTCAATAATTGGTTCCCAAATCCCACCCACTACACAAAGCGACACTAGTTGGCCCAATAATAGCATAATTTAATTGGACTATTAATTCTAATATGCCAATTATAATGAAATGACATAGAATTTTCCAACTCCCTCTAGGTTATTCAATTCACATGAAATTATGGCATGCATCATCTAGACACCCATTTCACAAAATTTTACCAAAATAATTTTGATTCGTTAAATTATTTGGGTCATGTGAGCAAATCAAGCGTAGCGTTAGTTCTGGCAGGTCACGTGAGTCAAGTTTGCATCGGCTGACTCTCAGCTGATCCACGTCTACCTATAGGAATACAACGCCCATCACGGCATTCCTATATAAGGTCTTTTCAGTATTATTCAGCATATTTATCACTTGCTCGGGAGCAAATTACCCTCCTCCATCCCCAGCTCCTCCTTTCGTCACAGTCAGGACTTGGCTTTCTGATATTCCTCATTTCCTGAATCAGACTCCTTTTATCTTGAATAATGTTGTTACACTAAAATATAATTAAAAACATTAATGATATCTGCATTTGGTTCTGTTCTGTTCACCCTAAGGGGTTACTGCTGCTCTCCCGGCTCATTCATGACAGGCTCATTAATGGCCAGGGAGTTTTTACCCAGAACAGAAACATACCGCCAAATCCAAACTGTATGCTAAGTGAATCATTTTGACGATAGTAGTCCTGACAGAAATACATCTTTGTGTTGGGACCCATTATTGCGAATTCACCTTGATTGTAGTACAATGTCTGTAGTGCCCCCTTTCGACTGAAGTTGTAGTGTCAGTTTTACCTAGCCACAAAACTCAAAACATATGTTGTTCTTATCAACTTTAAAAATGACAACCATTAGCTCTGCCAAGTTGGCCATTTTGGATTTAATGTGGATTTTGATATCTCGTACAGTGTTGCCATGATAAGAGTATAAATTAATGGCAACAAATGGAAACTGGAAGAGTCTCATATCTTCTAAGTGCACTGTCTGATGTAGATACAATTGGGGTTGTACGTTTGTTCATGCCAGCTGATCACATGAATGAGGCAATTGTGGTTCAGGGTCATAGCGCCACCAGCTGGTAGGAGGAAGTGTGGCACTCAAAACAGACTTTGAAGTAGTCCTACTATATTTACCCACTTAAATGCATGTTGCCACAGTTTTTCTAGAGCCTGTCATCTACACTTGCAGCTATATTTATATATGCAATTCCACTCTATGCCAGTAGGAGCACAAAAAAGCATCTCTGCTACGTAGAATCTACTAAAGGGATCATTTCAGCCAAAATCACTGATATATCCAGTTAAAACTAATGTGTAATTCATTTCAGCCTTACATTGAGTTCCATTGTTCGAGAGCAAGATGCCCCTCAGGCCAGTGATTTCCAATTCTATAAACAATAATCCCCATAATTAATAACCGGGCCCCTAATAAGCCCCTTGAGTATCTACGTGTTCTATCAAGGTTGACTTCAGGTCCATAAATGGACATTCAGAAAACTCCTCAAGCCACAAGCAAACATGAAAAGCAGTTTCCATTTGTGTTTGTTTGACAGAGAGCTCAAGACATTTGTTCTATCTCCAGTGTCTGTTCAGGTTGTTATGACCAGCAGGGCAGTATGCACTCTTTCTCATTGTCTTATAAATACTTGATGCATGTATCCAGGTCTCTCTCAGTGAACGGCTGAGCTGTTTGGCCATTTCTCCGTAGGTTATTTTGACCCAGGAGAGCAGTTTAATGAGGTTTGCCAAGGCTTAGGTGACTCTGGTCGTCCTCCTCCGCGTCCCCCCGTGCCGTCTGGCACCGAGAGCGGCTGGTTGCGCTGTTTTCTCAGGGACCGCTCTTAATGAATGCTTTCCAGGGCAGCTTGGCTTGAAGTGCTTGGGTTTCCTTTCTCTCGGGTAGCCAGGTTTTAAGGGTCGATCATCTTACACAGGTGTTACATATTACACCGGCCACACTCCCTCCACTGTCTGCAGCGAGAGTGCGAGGATAGACGTTTCCGCAACCACCGAGAATGAAACCTAAACTCCATCTACATCCAAACCTATTTTGAGCTTCTGCAGCTACCTATGAAATCTTTGGAGAAACTAGCAAGAAAAAAGTTTTTTAATAAAGTGCATGTGATTGCTGCGCCTTTTCAGCAGTAAAAATACAGTCAAAAGTTTGGAATTAGTTTTTGAAAGAAGTCTCTCATGCTCACCAAGGCTGCATTTATTTGTTCAAAAATACAGTAAAAACTGAAATTGTATTACTAATTGAAATAATTGTTTTCTATTTTAATATAGAATTTAAAATAGAATTTATTCCTGTAATAGCAAAGCTGAATTTTCAGCAGCCATCACTTCTTCAGAAATCATTAAAGCATGCTGATTTGGTGCTTAATTTGATCAATTATTGTTGATGCTCAATTATTATTAATGGTTCTTATACATTTCATTTTGAAATATATTCAAACAGAAATCAGTTCTTTTAAATTGAAATAATATTTTACATTATTGCTGTTTTTCTGTAATTGTGATCAAATATAAAGCTTTGCTGAGCATAAGACACTTCTTTCAGAAACAGTAAAAATCATAATTATTTCAAGCTTTGACAGGTAGTGTACCTGAATCTGCAACAGTTGGGTCGATGCATACTAATCTGCATGTGAACCATAATGATGCAGAAGTTTTGTGGGTTAAAAACGTTCATTGTCTATTGTTAATATTGTAGTGATGAAGAAAGCAGCTCACGCAGAATTCACTTTCAAAGCAAGCAGGTTTCTGTTGGCCAGCGCAGCGAATTCACATGACTAACTTGAAGCCATTGCTAAATTGGAAAAAATTTATTTGAGAAATATTTCTGAACACCAGTAAATGTAACCGCACCTTAAAGGGTTAGTTCACCCAAAAATGAAACATTCTGTCATTAATTACTCACCCTCGTGTTGTTCTAAACCCGTAAGACCTTCGTTCATCTTCAGAACACAATTTAAGATATTTTTGATGGAATCTGAGGGCTCTCTGACCCTCCCATAGACAACAAGGTAACTACCACATTCAAGGTCCAGAAAAGTACCAAGATGATCGACAAAGTAGTCCGTGTGACATCAGTGGTTCAACTGTAAAGTTACGAAGCTACGAGAAAGAAAACAAAATTAACGAATTTATTCCACATTTTCATCTCTACTGCGTCACTTTGGACGCGTGTTCACGACAGTATCATGCGTGTGGCGGCTCCACATGCTTATTTAATTATATTTCATCAAAAATCATCAAAATATTTCATCAAAAATCTTAATTTGTGTTCCGAAGATGAACGAAGGTCTTACGGGTTTGGAACAACACAAGGGTGAGTAATTAATGACAGAATTTTTGGGTGAACTAACCCTTTAATAGTATGTCCCAGCCAATGTTGTATAACCAATCCAGTTTTGATTTGTCCACATATTTATGCAGAAATGTGAAAGAGAAATGAGACTAGTGTGAGCTGTAGTGAGATGGACTAAATAGGGACCTGATCAGTTTTGTTCTGGCTTACTTTGCCTACTTACGCTGGGCTGTCACAGTGTCGCATGGATGAGGAGACGCCGCCGCCGCAGGTACGACTGCACTCGCCCCAGGTGGTCCAAGGTCCCCAGCTTCCGTCCACGCTCTGCGGCCACATCCCGAACGCCACACATTCACCCTGATAACACCACTAATACACAGATATAGAGAAATTATATTTAAAGAAAAAGTTCTTAGAAATTCATAAAGTATGTTGCAATGCACTATATCTTTTTATAAATGATAAATAATAATCTTTTTCTAAACAAAATGCATTAGAATATCCGCAGCTCTATTGTTACTGTGGTTACAACTACTTATGAGATCATGTAATGCGTTATGAGGTGCATTACAAGACATAGTTAATGCATTATATACACAGGTTTCAAGTAAAGTGTAACTGAACCTTCCCTTGCTCATTATTAGATGATTTCTGAACCTTATTGTAATCATTATGTCCTCTAAAGTAAAGCGCAGCTCTCATTTGAGAGACGTCTCCAGGCTAAACAGACTCAAGGCTTTGTAATGCTAAAGGACCACATGGAATCTTCTCAAATCTCATAATCCATCCAGCTCCGGGGACACGAGGACAGGGATTGGAGACGCTGGAAACGGTCATCACTGTGCAACTGTGTCAGTAGTTTAAGTTCTGTCTCTTTCTTACTCTCTCTTTCTCTCTCTCTGTCTGGAGGGATCTGGATGGTTTGATCTTGTTCTCAGACTCTGTTTCTTTCTCTCATCCACAGACAGAGAACTTGGCAAGGGAAAGGCTGTGTCCTCAGCTACCAGTGTCTGAAATCAGGGTAGTGTGCTAAGACACTGGCAGGCAGGTCCAAAATAAACTCTTAAAGAATGTCTTATCTAACAGACGCTCTGTTGTAAAGCCTAGTAAGTGGCCTGTGTCAGCATCATTTTAAGGTAGTGTATCATATGCATGTTTTGAAGGCTGTTTAAAAAGTAGGCAGCATAATTATGTTGCTGCCTAACATACTGTACTTTTTTTTTTTTTTTAACTCCCAAGGCAGCATTGCAGAGACCATACTGAATAATTATACAGTATATTATAATATAAAATAATTATATATTATAAAGTTTATAAATTATAAAGAGATGTGTGATTGCTTTAGAAAAAATGTTTACTCTTTGTGAAAATTATTGCTGAATAATTTGTTGATATTTTACAGTGGTCGATGGATATAGATTTTTCAGTCGACGATGCCATTGCAGATATATAATAGATACTATACATCAAATAAAATAAAGTATTCTTTTTATTCATATTTAATATTTGGCTAATTTTTATTTAATTTTACAATGTATTTTAAAAAGTTTAAAATTCATTTTAAAAAGTAATATAGAAATGGTTATCATTTGACAAGACTTTCAACAGATTATGAACTTTTAAATTATACCAAATAAAATATAAAATTTTTTGCTATTTAAATTTTCATTCATCTTAATTAAATTTTACTTTTTATTTTATGAAAGTATTTAAAATTCATTCAAAATTCTGAATACATAAATTGTTGAATATCATTTCATAAGTCTGTCAGCAGATTATGGAACTGATATAAGAAGCGACAAATATTTTTATTCATTTGCTCAGTGGAAATGATTGTTGGCTAATACAGAATCAACAAAAATTGGTTGGTTTATCGGCTAGTATATCACTAAAATTATACTGTATATCACTATTACTATGACTATTAACATAAAACACTGATAAATCAGTGCATTTATTAAGAAGGAAAAAAGAGTCGATTTTTATTTCATGTTGTCAGTTCACATTTAAACAGTTGAAGAAAGTTTTCAGTGACAGATTAAGAATGAACTCTGCTCTGAAATGTGCGGCTTTCTGGCATTGTGCTTCCTGGAGTGTTCGACAGTCATTCTTTACGACGTGACAAATTCATTATCAGTGCCGTTGGTGGAAATCACATTCAGTAGCATGTGTGGTCACCCCGTTTCTTTCCATTTCTCGTCTTTCTGGAGCTGGCAGGGCCTCCACTCCATTACACGCTGGATGAGAAATGGCTGACATTCGTATTCCTTTGATGCGGACCCAGCCAGGGCAGACATAAGTACGCCACCCGCTAAAAAAAAACAGCAGCTCAACCTGGGGCTCGCTGCTTGTCCAAGACAACGCTCAAGAGCTTGGCAGTAAATAGATTCAGTGAGCGAATGGTAACAAAGGCTGACAGCTCGTGGTCCTCATCCATTCTTCCTCTTGAGCCATCCTACGAATGAGGACAATGGCCACTCTAATCTTTGTTAAAACTGTCTCTCTAACCTGGACAGGCAGAAATGTGAACTGATGACCCAAACGCCGTGTGCATGAGTGAACACTGGGAATAGGCTTTCTTATTCCCATATCTGGTGCGAGGAGAGCAGGGCCAAACGCCACACCCGGAGCCATTCTCTTCTCTAATCTGCCAGGAGTCCGTTTCCCACTACCTGCCATTTCATTGCATTAAGCTTTCTGTAATGGCACAAGGACTTACCCCCTTTTCAATGGTGCTGGTCTGGCACAGGGTTCCTTCTGCAGCGGGGATACTGTTGGTGACACAGCGGTTACTTTTGCTAAGGCACCAGAGCTCTCTACACACTTCCTAGGAAAGAAGGCAAAAGCAAGTTGGTCAGAAATATCAGTTCTCAAGAGAGACCAGAAAAAATGGACACAAGACCAGCATAGTGTGGCGCCAGGACACACGAACTGGGGGGCATTCACAATTCATGAGGGGGCTCATCCGTCGGGAAGGGGTTTAATCTATACGTATCATCTTATTATTTTCATGGCGACGCATCATGCAGACACAATAGCACTGTATGACAGATGTATCACTTTTATTAAGCTTTTCCTTTTTTATTCAAAATAGCTAACTTGTTAACAATATCGTGAACTATATGATATAGCATATTCTGACTGTTAGATGTGTAAATAAATTTTTTGTCTTTTAAACAACCTTACGATGACCATGTTAGCTGATTTATAATGCACGCTGGACGCTGCTGTGTGGATCTGTCGGATTAACAATGTAAATTCATCCATTTCTCCCGAAATACATGAAAGTGGCCAGTGAACTGGGAGAAGAACTGAGTAAACTTTACAGTTACCTACACAATGTGTATTTGATTTGAATAAAACTAGGGTTGCAAAAAGGTGGAAAATTTCAGGTAATTTCGGAAACATTCCAGAAATTTTGGAAACTAGCGATTTTAGGAACGTTTCAGGAAATTTACCGTAAATTTTCCACCCCTTTCGGCTTGACCAGCAAGACTCCGGCACTGATGGCTTTAAGCTGGGAGTGCAGGCTAGCACTAAAAAAAAATGGGCCGAATTCACTAAGACCAAAGTAATTGCTGCTATCGAATAGCTTTAAAAATGTAAAACTTATGGAGCACTAATGGGCTGGAATAATAATTTCAATATGGAATAGGCATATAAAAACATTCTTTAGATTTGTTGCTATCTGTGTTAATTTTACACAGTTTTCCATTTGAGTCATAGTTTTGGTCTTCTGATGGAAATATCCTTTAAATGTAGTCAATGTTTCTTTCTATCTATGTAACCCTTATGTTCAGTTTTATCATGTTTTCATTGTGTTTTGGTTCTGTCTTCCTTGTTTTGTCATTTGACCTAGTTTCTCTGTCTAATTACTCATTCCGTTCACCTGTCGATTAATTATCTCAGCTCCAGTGTATTTAAGTCCTTCAGTTCCTTTAGTCCTTTGTCTGGTGTTGTTGTGTTTTACTCGCTGTTTCATTTGTTTTACTTGTACTAAATATAGGCTCAGAGATGCACTAGTCAAAGAAACAGAGCCTGAACTTCACAGGAGAAGTGCCCCCATGAAAAAGACTTACGATAGGGAGCACCGCCGCTGACCCCAGGTCAGTAAGTAAGACTCAGCAGCCCAGCCCATCCAGATTAAATAAAGCGACAAACTGCCACTCTCAGGTTGCAAAAGCTCCAGCTCTGCGGCTGGTTTTAATAAGGTTTCCTGCTGGCCCATTCAAGATGGCCATGCTGAGAAGGTCAGAGGGGTCGGCTTGACCAGCAAGACTCCGGCACTGATGGCTTTAAGCTGGGAGTGCAGGCTAGCACTAAAAAAAAATGGGCCGAATTCACTAAGACCAAAGTAATTGCTGCTATCGAATAGCTTTAAAAATGTAAAACTTATGGAGCACTAATGGGCTGGAATAATAATTTCAATATGGAATAGGCATATAAAAACATTCTTTAGATTTGTTGCTATCTGTGTTAATTTTACACAGTTTTCCATTTGAGTCATAGTTTTGGTCTTCTGATGGAAATATCCTTTAAATGTAGTCAATGTTTCTTTCTATCTATGTAACCCTTATGTTCAGTTTTATCATGTTTTCATTGTGTTTTGGTTCTGTCTTCCTTGTTTTGTCATTTGACCTAGTTTCTCTGTCTAATTACTCATTCCGTTCACCTGTCGATTAATTATCTCAGCTCCAGTGTATTTAAGTCCTTCAGTTCCTTTAGTCCTTTGTCTGGTGTTGTTGTGTTTTACTCGCTGTTTCATTTGTTTTACTTGTACTAAATATAGGCTCAGAGATGCACTAGTCAAAGAAACATGCCAGTGAAAAACAAGAAAGAGTTGATTTGTGAGGAGAGCAATAACATTATTTTTAAAAACCAAATTAAAACTCAACACGGAAAAAAACAAAAAAACAATATAGTTCAAAACGGTCTCTAAAGTATAACGAATAAATAATGTAAAGTAAAATTTAAAAGTCAAAGCCTTCTTGCACTGGATGTGCTGGTTTTGGCCTCATTGCCGGCTGCAGTCATGTTTATATCTCATATATAAAACACCAGTGATTCACAACCACTTGCTAAGGAACTCACATTCACGTAAAGTAGCCTTGTTGACAAGTTTGGGTGAGTAAGGGCAAAACGCAGAAGATATAGTACTGTCAGTGCGCTGTAGTGCGCGCGATAATTTATTTTGTAGCAGAAACAAACTGCTGCAGAAAAAGCTAGGTGCCATGCAGAATGTAATGTGTAATTAACTAGCCTAGTTCCAAAAAAAAATAAAAAAACTTCACCTGCATGTATTGAACCGTGGACAGTTCAATATTATTTTGAGAATTGTGGCATCCCAGATAGATAGATAGATAGACAGAGACAGACAAAGTGCAAAGTGACTCAGGTAAGCCAATAGAGAAGAAATACTTAAAGGTCCCCTGAAATGCTTAGAAACACGCAGTGTTACTCTGTGTTGACGTCATTTGAAATCTGAAACAGGAAGACAGGGCAGGATATAGCCAATAGCGGTCGTTTATATCACAGCTTGGGCTAGAGCCGTTCAGAGCCATTGAGCTCCGTAAAACCGTACACGGTATGCCAGCCACAATCTCATCCATATTGCTATAAAATATAGCATTCTGTGTAGAATTCAAATAGCTCCGATACATTTTGTGGTCTGCGCTGACTCGCGCATGTGATCCACTCCGTGCTATTGTGTCTCTGGACCGGAGCAGCGTGTGTGTGCAGTGCGGTGGTTAGCGTGACAGCGTGAAACCAGACTTCTTTTTTTCCTCAATGGAAAACATATTTACACTGTTTGAATCGTTCCCTGTCCCCTATATAGTACACTACGTGCCCTTCATTGTACAGAAAATCCTAATTCTGTGGACAAGTGACCGATTTCAGCCGCGGCTTCAGCGTCTATTTTATAGTGTAGGGGCGGGCGCTTCGGATTCTAGAGAGCATTTGATTGGACAGAAAGTTTAATGAGAAGCTGAAGTACGATGTGACGAAAAAAAAATCATTGCGTCTTTTGGCAGAAGTGACGAACTGTAAGCTCTGAATGCTTATATTTTCTAAATGCGAATTCTGTCAGTGTTTTGGAGCACACTGCCTTATAGATAACCTTAAGACTAACATATTGATACTAACACCCAAAAAACTTTAATTTTGATTTCATGGGGACTTTAAGTACTGTTAAAATCAGTTGTTTGGAACTGGAGAGTTGTAACTTGTAATGGAGTAATTTTCACTAAGTTTTCTGTACTTTTACTAAAGTATGATTTTTCAGGTACTCTTTACACCTCTGAAACAATCTGATGTGCCAAGCCATCAGAACCGAACTGAACCAAACCAAACTGAAAACCGTCATTAAAAAAATAAATAAAACGAGGTATGTATTGAACCATGAGCTAACTGTTTTGTTAGTAAATAATAGATAAATATTGTTCAGTTTTGCACTTTTTGTCAAATAAATTCTTATTTTCGTTGATTAAAATTAGATTCCATGCCAGCAAAACTGTAATAAAAGAGTGATATTAATATGACATTTGAGTCATTTTGTGCAAAATGTAATGTTGTATGTATTTCATTAATCTCATATGTATATATGTTTGAATGAGTTAATTAATGACCCAAGTGAGTCTTGAGACATCATATGCAAAACATAGAAAAACTCAGCACAGAAGTTGTCAAGTTCACTCGTACAGATAACCACACAAAGAACAATACCTAATTATAAGAAAGTCCAGCTTCAAAATGACCTAGACACATTGAAATCATTGAGACCACTTTACCATACTAGGTGCTCTCCACTGCCACTAAATACTTTCTTTTTATGATGTCCTCGTGTTCCATGGTGATAATCTCCCCATATACACTGCTAAGTAATTGGTGTTTTAATAAACAGCAGGATAAAGTCTAATGCCTCCATATCCTCCCTATAGTGACTAGATCTAAAGACCACTGATCTGAAGCAAAATAGATTTAGAAATAGATTTCCACTGCCTTTGTCCTAAAGACCCCCAAGCTTTTTTTTTTTCTTGAAGAATGGGGTAAATTCCACCCCACGCCGTTCAGGATGTGTATGACAGCATTCCAGGAAGAATCGAAGGCAAAACGCGGCTGTGCTCCTTATTAGGTCTTTGATATTAATATATTTTTAGGTTTCAAATTTTTCGTCCACCCCCTGGGTGTGCGTTTATCTCTCCATAACAGTTTTTCCAAACCAAATTCAAGCCTCTTGTCCAATGGTGTGGTTATAATTCTCCAAAGGCATGTATTAAACAGATGGTTGGCAGAAAAAAATAAGATTGTCAGAATCCACTAACACTACACGCTGTATTAAAATTGAGCCAACGGAATGCAAGACTTTTTTTCTTTACATGACCACTTTGATATTAATATATTTTTAGGTTTCAAATTTTTCGTCCGCCCCCTGGGTGTGCGTTTATCTCTCCATAACAGTTTTTCCAAACCAAATTCAAGCCTCTTGTCCAATGGTGTGGTTATAATTCTCCAAAGGCATGTATTAAACAGATGGTTGGCAGAAAAAAATAAGATTGTCAGAATCCACTAACACTACACGCTGTATTAAAATTGAGCCAACGGAATGCAAGACTTTTTTTCTTAACATGACCATCTTCCATGCTGATCTATACCACAGTTATGAGCTTAAGATAGAAATTACAGGGTTCTCTTTTTGGCATGCGTTCATCCACTGTCGGATATATCTCTCAATGAAACAAAAGAACTCTGTAATCTCGGGTAATTTAATTATTTTCTGGTGCAGAAAGCAAAGCCGCATATTTGTACTAAGCAGAGCACCATCTCTTATTGATCATTAATTTTCCTGGCTTCATTCAAGCCTTTTTTCCCCCTCCCTGTGTCAGTTTATTTGCTTAAGTTTGTTGTTCTTTGGGTAAAATCATTATAATTTCCAAAAGTCTGAGGATTCGGCAGGAAAAGGAACAAACCTCAAGTATGGGCTTTCTCTGAAAGATATGTGGCCCAAACGGCGCTCGTTTCAGGTGCTGATAAAACAAAGATCTTTAATTTCGACAACATTTAATGCATCATGTGACCTACTACAAGGGAGTATCGACTTGGCAGCCTCACTTCTAGCCCTCAAAGGAAGTGAAAATAATCTCAGCTGATTACTGATATTTATAACCTGTGTTTCTCAAAGCGTCCAAAAGTTCTCCACAATCAGGGCAAATGTTACAAAAACTTAAACTCAATATATTCTTTACAAGTCCAAATCAGACACCACAGCAATCACTCACAGCACTTTTTTCCCCTCACTGCTCTACATCGGAGCTGTACAAGCTCTTCTTGTAATGTTGCCTGTTGAACAAATCATGTCCTTTGGATAGTCTCCTCTGGGTCAGTGGTAAAAATAACCACTTGACCTCCGGCATCATGTCTCCTCAGAGCTCTTTAAGTAGCAGTCTTGCTCTCTATGTCCAAACAGCCTTCTGAATCAAAATCAGCTTTTGGATTTTAGTACATATACAGCAGGTTTGGACGCCACCGGTAAAGCATCAAGAATGTAGCAAATATCTGATCACACCTGATGTGTTTGTTATATTACTCTGTGTCCTGGCATGAACTTTCTGGCCAAGGATGCTTGGTTAGGAAAAAAAAATCGTATTTACATTAAAGATTTAGTGCTTTTCACTTCATTGCTTTGGTTGCAGTTCAGTAATATTCCAGTAACGTCTTTAAAACATTCTTGAAACAATGCCTAAATAAACTGTAACCAAAAAATAAAAAACATTACATACCTGGTAGGTTTTCTTTAAGTAGACTCAAAACAGCAATATAATGTAATGTGTTTTTACGACGAAAACAATACCACAGCAAAGCCAGCTATTAAATTAATGTAATCTGTACATTTGAATGAAGTGTTTCAAAGATGTAAAAGTGCAACCAGTCCAAAAACTGCTTACAAACAGACTTCGCCCATTGTTGGCATGGATTTGGCATAGGGCTATTAGCCACAACTGCCAAACATTTAATGTAAGTAATGCAAATAATGCTGTAACCAGCATTGTAATCTTAACAGCTTTGTTGCTAGATTTAGTGACTTTTTAAAAAAAAATTGCCTACCGACATATATAGTCGCCAGATTTGTCACTAGGCAAGTTTTATGAAAAAAGTACAGGTATATACCATTATACACCAATAATAAACAATACACCGATATACCAGCACCTACTGTCAAGATTTACTAAAGATGTGCCGTGAAAAATTGTGCCGTGAAGAAAAGGCATGGACACAGTCATTTTTGTGGCTGACCTCATTGCATATGCATTTGTAGGAGTGTCTCATTCAGATGCAAAATTTATGGGAGGAGAATATTTAAATGAATCACGCAACATAATTTACTTATGTTTGCGGTAGACAATTTAATGGTATTTGCACCATTATGTGGGAGGCTGTGGAAGGCCTTGTTTAGTAAACCTGGCCCTAGATTTGGTTTGTCCTAGTTTCCGATCGACTCGTCAGTATATCGCCATCTAGCGACATTTAGCGAGCAGACTAGCAACTGTCCATTGAAAGTAGTTGGCAACAGTGGTTGTAACAACATTTCCGCAATATTTAAAAATCCAAAATCTATAGTATCATCTATTACGTTATCAACTTTCAAATAACTTTTAAGCATCTACAGAACAGTTGTGCTTGTTGTGATGATAGTTCATTTTAGGTTCTTGAGGTGTGTGAGGTTGTTGTATGAGTCCGACAAAACAACATTGGCTCAATCAATGGCATGATTTCAGCAAACCTGTCTGAAAACAGGTATTATTTTTGCAATGCCATTTGGTGACATTAGTAGCAAAGATATCACACAATTAACTTTTAAATCTTGTATTTTTTTATATATTTTTTTTAAATGATCATGGTTGAAGCAGAACTATCCTGTTTTTTTACACAAAAATGCCAAAAATTCTTGGTGTCTGAGCCAACAAATGTCACTATGTGAGATTGACATTCCCAGAGCATGATAGTGTGTTGCTGCCGCCTTACCCCATATTTGCACTGACGGGAGGAGGCGCCGTACTGGAAACGACACTGCTCATCTGCATCGTACACCTGCCCTGGAGCCACAGTGGGGTACAGGAAGTCTCGTTTCAGAGGCTCATTGTCCAGACACGTTCCCCGACCTGAGCTGTCAAAAAAACAAACCTTCAATGGGATTGGCTCTTCTACAGAGGTTTCATTTGTGTCCAACAAGAGAAAAAAGTCTTGTGACAAACTCTCACATGAAAGGAAAAGAGAAGGTGTCTTGTTAATGGAAATTAGCAAGCAAGAAATCTGCAAAATACAGAATGCAAAATGAGGGAAGCGTGACTGACAAACAGTGGCCATAAAACGCTGAGATTTGGACTTATATGGTACTGCGGTGCTCCTATGGAATCCTTTGAAGAGCTAATAAAATGACGAAAGAGGCTGAACGAGCAAAAAAAGATCAGAAGGTACCGGAGGTCACGCGTCCAGTCAAACTTGTGTTTAGTCTGTTTAGTCAGCTAGAAATATGAACGTTCCCCAGAAACCTTCAAAAAGAGGGCCACTGCTCTGTCTGCAGCGAACAACGTGAAAAAATAGAGCCAAAGCAGAGGCCAGGGAGTGCATGTTTTGTTGGACTATGTTTATTCTGGGTTCAGAAGTGGATCTTGTTTTATTCTCGGCGTCCCCGTTACGGATGCTACCCGGCCCCCC